ATGACAGTCTGATGTTGTATGACAGTCTGACGTTGTATGACAGTCTGATGAAGAGGATGCTGAGGGTTGTCTATAATGTTCTTCATTTGATGAAGAATCCTTCTTTGAACAATCATCTCCAAAGGTTCTAGAGGAGTCCCCAGAACTGAGCCAGCCTTCTTTATGAGCTTGTTGATCTTTTTTATGTCACTTGCTCTGGTGCTGCTCCCCCAGCAGATGATGCAGAAGAGACAGCGCTCTCTACAACAGACTTATAGAAGATATGCAGCATCTTGCTGCAAACGTTGAAGGACTTCAGCTTCCTCAAGAAGTACAGTCTGCTCTGTTCCTTCTTGTAGACGCTTCACTGTTGCATTTCCAGTCCAGTCTATTGTCCAGGTGATCTCCAAGGTATTTATACTTCTCCACCACCTCCACTTCTTCTCCCATGATGGAAATAGGGTTGGACCTGTTCCTGATTCTCCTGAAATCTACAATCATCTCCTTTGTTTTGTTCACACTCAAGATGAGATGATTGTTTCCACACCAGGCCACAAAGTGGTCCACCAGTTCCCTGTACTCAGCTTCTTGTCCATCTCTGATACACCCGACCACTGCAGAGTCATCTGAATATTTCTGCAGATGACAGGAGTCTGTTTTGTACTGGAAATCTGAGGTGTACAGAGTGAAAAGGAATGGTGAGAGTACAGTCCCCTGTGGTGCTCCTGAGCTACAGACCACCTGGTTAGACACACAACCCTTCAGTCTCACAAACTGTGGTCTGTTTGTCAGGTAGTCTTTGATCCAGGCGATTGTTGAGGCCTCCACCTGAGTCTTCTGAAGTTTCTGACAAAGCAAATCAGGCTGGATTGTGTTAAATGCACTGGAGAAATCAAAGAACATGACTCTCACAGTGCTGTCTGCCTTTTCTCGATGACAGTGAGTTTGCTGAAGCAGGTGTATGATGGCATCTTCAACTCCAAGTCCATGCTGATAAGCAAACTGCAGTGGGTCCTGATATGTGTTTGTTTGTCTAGTCAGGTGGGTCAGCAGAAGTCTCTCTAGGACCTTCATGATGTGGGATGTCAGGGCAACAGGTCTATAGTCATTGAGGACTGATGGGTGAGTTTTCTTTGGCACTGGAACAAGACAGGATGTTTTCCACAACACTGGAACCTTCTCCTGGAGAAGGTTCCAGTGTTGTGCAGAACCCCACAGAGCTGCTCTGCACAGACCTTCAGGACTCTGGGACTGACACCATCTGGACCTGCAGCCATATTCCGGTTCAGTCTCTGCAGCTGCTTCCTCACCTGACTTCTGGAGACGCAGAGGGGGGAGGCAAAGGAGGTATCAGCATCTTCTGATTTGGATGAAGACCAATAAGTAGAAGAAGAAGGGTCCATGACTGAGGTGGTAGATACAATATCTGAGATGTGACAGGACAGCCTTGGGTCAATGGAGGGTGTTATCCAAAAAAGTTCAATCTGGTCCTCAGGACATTCAAAAAAACAAAACATTAAACCTTTATTTTACCAGGAAGAAATCCATTGAGATCATCAATCTCTTTTACAAGGATGTCCTGGGCTATATACACATATAGCAACAGTCTTAAAAAACAAAACAAAGCAAAAAAATCTAGAAACGTTTCGTCTCTCATCCAAGAGACTTCCTCAGTCTGAGGTGCTGTTTTCAGCTCAGTCTCTTAAATAGCACCTTCTCAGAGTGGATCAACCAGTTTTGCTGCTGACAACCAAAACCAGCTGATCACATGGTCAAGAAGGACCATCAGCCTAACAATGGATCATTAGCACCTGATGGCTGTTTACTGTTCACAGAGGGCTGAGTGATACTAGCAATCACAGCATTGTAAGAGGGGGACAGTTGAACCTGGAGGCCTCCACCCCTTTAGTTGGCAGCTCAGAACACCACATACAGAACACCATGGACTTTGTGGATAAGGTGAGGGATGTCATCATGGAGACTGATGAAACAATGGTCTCTTTTGATGTCACATCACTCTTTACGTGCATTCCTGTTGATGATGCAGTAGAGGTGGTCAGTTTAAAATTAAAATCAGACACCACTCTGAGCAGCAGGACCACGCTTTCTACAGAACAACTGTGTCAACTCTTGAAACTGTGCCTGCAGTCAACCTACTTCACATATGGGGAGCAATATTATAGGCAGAAACATGGGTGTGCTATGGGGTCTCCAGTTTCTCCTATTGTTGCCAACCTGTACATGGAGGAGGTAGAAAAGAGAGCCTTGACGTCCTTTTCAGGGACACCACCAAGTCATTGGTTCAGGTATGTTGACGACACCTGGGTTAAAAT